TAGCAAGATATCCCTGTTATCTAGCATGTTTATGAGACAGAAAAAGAAACCAGCAATCCTACCATCATGCAAAACAGTTACAGGTTTCTGTTTCACAGTCATCTGGCAGGACGGTAGTACTTCCCTGGGTGGTTGCTGTCTACTAACCTACTACCATTAACTAGTCAAAAAGAAGTACGAAGTGAAGGGAGCCAGAATATATACGAGAAGAGCAGGATGACAGTAGCTTAACGAGAGGAGGGAGTAGTACGAGTGCTAGTAGTAGTGGTGGTAGAAAAAAGTGCCACAGTGGTAGATGTGGTAATATGACGGCAGTAGTGGTAGTGAAAAAGGGGAGAGGGTGGAGATTTACAGAAGAGATAGCATAGAGATGATCTCTCCTCACTTAACGATGGAGTTCTGTTCCCAAGAGTAGGTCAGTAAACAAATTGGTTGTTAAATGAGGAGCACACTATACTGGTAGTGGGTGTGTGTCAGCTATCTTTAGATATTATTTTAATGTCACCTTTGCACCATTTATAACATTTTTAGTATATTTTTGCATTGCATTGCAACCCACTATTGTATATACACAATCTCAATGTACTGTTTGCAAAGACATTAAATAAATAAATAAAGTGTACTGTATATTGTAACAAACAGAATAAAGGAAATCAGGTCTAATATATTATGTATGCATACTGGTCAGAGAGCTGGTTGTAAGTCAAAGAAGCCATTAAACAAGTACGTCGTTAAGTGAGGAGAGCCTGCAGTAGTAGAAGTAATAGCAGAGGTAATCTAAGAACAAAAAAAAAGAGGAAAGCTGAGGAAAAACACTTAATCTTGCTCCTTCCATCAAGTTCAAAACTGAATGGGAATCTACTCTGCTTCCTTTCCTGGTTGTACATGTCCACTGCTCAGCTGCAGGCAGTGCTCATCATAAGCTAATGAACAGTGGCATGTACATTTGTGCTTTCTTTACCAAGAAAATTGTTTTTATTTCTCTTTCTCCATGCCCTTTGCATTTGTGGCCCTCAATTTCTTGACTCGGATATTTCCATTTTTCACACTTCATTCTCTTGCCTTGGCTATCCTTCCAAACTTCCCTCTCCAATTCTCTACTCCCTTCTTTGCCTTTCCTGTATTTCTAGTCTCCCAGTCTCTAGTCTCTTCATTCCTTAGGCCTCAAACTTACTTTTTGCCAAACTAATGCCCTTTGTAATAATGTACCTTGTATCTCCTGCCACTGATGCTTCCAGAATATACATAATTTCCTACTTCTCTTGTCCTTTCCGACATTAATCCGTTCCCGAGAGCTCATCGTTAGACGAAATCATCGTTAGCTGAATTAATTTTCCCCATAAGAAAAAATGGAAATCCAATTAATCCGTTCCAGACAGCCAAAAGTATTAAAAAAAAAATTTCATGAAATATACATTTCCCTACAAAGAAAACAATGAGACATGCACAATAACTATATAAATAAATGTTAAAATGACACTTACCTTTATTGAAGAGAATTGACAAGTGATGAGACTTTCTTGAACACTGGGATTTTCAGAGTGATACACGAGTAAAGGCTTCACTTTGCAATCCCCACTAGCAATACAACAAAACAAAGTTAGCCTGTGTTATTGCTGTTCTACTGCCTGAACAGAGGTTTATTTGCCGATGAAGTTAGCGTAGGTAGCAATGATACGGCCGTGGACTAGTTTGGCTTTAATTGGATAGGAGTGAGTACACAACGGGCAGTGTGAGGAAGTGACCGCAAGCCAGTCCGTGGAGGGGGAGCACTTGTGTGTCAAGGTCCAGTCGGCGGAGTGATGGCCGGTGGGCACAGCCTCCACTGACGTGGGTGAGCCTACAGAGGGCAGCACCTAAAATGCCGTGAAATATGAACTAAGCTGGCAGACAGCAGGGGCTGTCTGTGCAGACAGTACAGGCTGTCTACACCTGTCTTTCATAGGCTTGTGTCCTGGGAGTGCCTTTTCCTCCTGAGTAATGTAGGTCCTGTTTGGCATTTTCTTCCAGAACAGGCCTGTTTTGTCACAATTGTTGGGGTTGGGATTTTTCAGCTTTGCCATGCCTTATTACACTGGCATTTTTTCCTGTTCACCTGGGTGTTAGTCGACTGGTGTGGGTCGCATCCTGGGGGACAAGATTAAGGACCCCAATGGGTCCTCAATGACTCACTGACTTCCTTGGGTTACCTTGGATGGCTAACCCTCTGGGGTTAATTGTTTCTCGTTAAGCCACACCAACAACAGTCTCTCCACATCTTCGAGTAGTACAGCTGACTGTGGTACAGCAGCAGCTGACTGTCGTATGATAGTATTTCGATAGTATTTCTCACCCTTTTTACCACAGGGTTGGCACTAGAAGCTTTCTTTGGGCCCATGGTGGCTTATTTAGCAGTTACAAGGACTATAAACAATGGAATAATACAAAATGTATCGAATGTATGCATGAAACCAGCCACCCTAGCTTGTAAACAATGATGGCAGGGCAGCTGAGGCACTTAGGCTGGACGGACAGGTTCAGGACAAATCACGTTGGGCAAGTTTTTTATCATTAGCCAGGCCAAAATTTTTACGCTCAAACGCTTCGTTGGGCAGATTTAACGTTATGCGATGCATTCGTTAACCAAAGGTCCACTGTATTAGCCTTGCTGACACTAATAAAAAAGAGCATTATCATGTTAGAGATCATGGTCATCCTATTAACTGGTCTTCAGCCAGAACTGTCTACCCTTCATAGACGCTGTCTTGCTGAAGCATCCCTCCTTGTGAAACAAACATTCCTAGTATGAATGGTTTTCTCTCTAGATACCTTCCTTTCCCATTACATTGTCAAATGCTCCAAACTTCAGAACACTCATGACTTGGTCTGATCTTTATCTCCTGCTCTCCATACTATTGTCTTTGCCTTTCCTGACTTCTGCCTGAATGGGTTCGTCTTTTTTTTTTTTTTTTTTTTTTTTTTTGCTGGGATTTGGGTTTATCCCTCATGGGCCATTAGCTGTCCTAAAGTGCTCCTCTTTTCTCCACTATTACCTGCACTACTACCTGCACTATTACCTCTGCTATTACTTGTACTGCTATTTCTTTGCTAAGTCTTCACCCTCTTCCCCCTTTTTTCACTACCACTACATTCGTATTGCCACCTCTACCGTTATTGCACTACTTTTTCTACTATTACTACTACCACCACTTTTACACTAATCCTCTTGTTACACTACTCCCATCCCCATCCCCATCCCCATCCCCCCCCCTCTTGTATATATTCTGCTTCCCTTCCCTTGGCACTTCTGTGTGACTAGTTAATGGTCCATATCAGACCGAAATGTAATAAGTTTTTCTGTATATTGGTCATTTGTGTATTGTTTCAATTATGGTATGGTGTCTTTTTATTGTTTATCAACCAATGATCTATTATTATGATAATCAAAAAGAAGCACTAAACCCATTAGGATCATACATCGCTGCCACCAATGATCTAATGTAAGCAAAATACATCATTTTCACAATTTTAACATTAGCATCATACCTGGGAGGAAAACCCACCTTTGTACTGGACAAAATCTTATTACAAAGTCTTGTTACACCAAGTCGAAGTAGTGGGACCGCAAAGCCAAGATGCCTTTGTGGAAAAAGCTACTTATGTACAGTTCAGGATATTTATTAAAGGAGACGTTTTGCCAAGAATGGTTTCTTCAGTCCTAATACAGAGATAACTAAGAACCAGTATATATAGTGGCAGGAGTCAAAGGCCAGGCTACAGGGGGGGGGGGGGTAATAGCAGTACAACCGTGGTGAAATGGGTGGCGTTTAAAAAGGGCCTGTTCACATTTTTACAATGGTCTCCAGAATGGATCAGCACTGTATGACCCTTGTGAGGGTGCCATGTGTGCCCTGAAAGACAAGTGTCAGGGGCCCAAGACTGTTCAACTTCCTCTCAGTATACATAAGGGGGATTACCAAAAGACCCCTGGCTGTCTTCAAGAAGGCACTGGACAGGCACCCAAAGTCAGCACCTGACCAGACGGGCTGTGGTTCGTACATCAGTTTGCGTGTGGCCAGCAGTTAACAGCCTAGTTGATCAGACCCTGATCCACCACGAGGCCTGATCTCAGACCAAGCTGCAGGGGCGTTGACCCCCGAAACCCTCTCCAGGTATACTCCAGGTAAGTCCTCAAACTTAACCCATCTCACCACTGGCGAATGGGTTACGCTAAACTACCAACGTATACAGACTAAGATGACATCACATATAGAATGCTCCTTGTTATGCAGAGAGTTTTGGGCAAATTATGTTTTATCCCCAGGATGCGACCCACACCAGTCAGCTAACACCCAGGTACCTATTTACTGCTAGGTGAACAATGACAGCAGAAGTCTTAAGGAAACACGTTCAAGTGTTTCTACCCATACCGGAAATCGAACCATGGACCTCAGTGAGTGAGTTAAGTGCGCTAGCATTTAAATTAATCAAGACTGAACAGCTTTCTAGGCTGATGGGTTTGATTACCTTAAAATTACTACATGTTTTTCACTGTCTCCATTAATTTTCTTTGTACTGGATTGATAAAGCCACTCCATGGCGAAACGTTGACAAGAAATACCCAGGTTTTACACACGTCTTATTTGTCTCTGTTTTGGGTGGCTTTAATCAAAAACCTTACTGAAATCCAAGTACTGTAGATAACATCATACTTTTGGGCGAGCCACCTAGCAGCGAACATGTACATGGGTGTTAATCACCTATTATCTGTGGCATCCTGGGAAAAAGTGGGTAGTGGTAGCATATTCATAGATAAGACTGAGCTTGGAGATGAGCTGAGGTAGGGAAACAGCTCTTAGCCTGTAAATTCAGCGGGGTAATAAATATATTTTTGAAGTTTGTGTTGGGGTAAATTGCAGCCGTAAGACCCACATGAAATCAATAGGCTTTAATTTAAGCAAAGAAATCAGATAATGCCAATTTACTGAGAAAATTATGAAAGTTGTTAATAATATTCATACCTCTTTGTCACTTCACGTTAAATTCAATTCTTTGAATATAGACAGGAAACGGGGCTGAAAATTGTTGTATTTCTGAATCATTGTTATCATACTGCTTTGTTGGGTGTTGCTGAAGGTTTTTTGGTCGACGTAACTGTCCATGTCCGGGATCTCATCCTCTTCTGCTACAATGATCGGCAGTTTACAGATGGCCGCAACGACTCCATAAAGAAACTTGGCTTTGTATTCGTCCTGCAGTTCCTTGTAAGTAAAGGGAATAGCTTTCCCACTGGCTTTTAGCACATTACTAAAGGAGGCAAAGTAAATGAAGAGCAAACGATCCAGATGAGTCTTCCTGTCGTGTGAACTGAGGCAGGTGTAAAAGAACTCAGCTATGTCAGTGGCTAGAGATGCTACATAACACATCTGGAAGTCCAAAATCCGTACATCTACTGGGTCACCTGGTTCATCGTACCTGTAAGGGTAACAAACCGAATATGTCCACATCACTAACTGCTGTTGTAGCTCTCGCGATGAAGTAAAAAAAAAATATTGCCGACATTCTCATGACAAATTCTTTTATTTGAATATGAATAACGATATACACTGCAGTGATTCTCAACCAGGGGTAAATTTACCACTTGGAGGTAAAAAATTATATGGCAAGGGGTAAATATTTGATGTACCTGATAAATGAATAATTAAATTAAATTTCTCTGAACTTGTTTTTGTCCCTTTATGATGGCGATAATTTTTTTTGTATGGAAGGGGGTAAATGGAGAAATACATCAAGCCGAGGGGGGTTATTGGAGGAAAAGTTGAGAATCCCTGATTTCCAGTTCATATTTGTGCTAGCTACTTTTAAGTTTGTATGGTTTTGAGTATAACATTTGGAGTAGCACAATGGGGTACCAAGAACCTTAATACCGCTTCGTACTTTGATCTTACCTGAAAAGAAAATTGTTGTTGACAAGATCAAAGTGACATACTGAAGAGAATGGCGGTGTTGTGGTTGTGTGCTCCTTAAACATATTGAGGACTCGTGGTTTAATGCTCTCTACCCACTCAGCTGCTCTTCCGTATCCGTCCACTGTTTCTAATAAAACTCTCGCGTTATCTAAACTATCAGCCATGACTACGCGATAAGTCTCTCCTGATTTAGGCTTGTAATTGGACCAGTGCAAGAAAAGGTAGTCATATTTAAGATGAAAATCTTGTGATTCTGCAGCCTGGAGCAGGAATGATGAAGCATGGAATCTAGCCATTTCTTGTAGGACAACTGTTGCATGGGAAATATCCATAGTCTTTCTACGATCGTATTTTTGGAATCCTTGGGCCCGTAGATCTTCCTGGAGAATAATTTCCTTATCTTGCTGCAAACTAGCAAAGAAACACCGAGGAATTTTCAGTGCATCAAGACCTCCATTTTTCAGTTGGGATGTTAAGGCAGGTTCAATTTCATTATAAAATCTTATTTCTTTTTTAAACGCCATCCGCATAAAATCTGTCCAGTTTTCTCCTCTAAGCGGGTTTAACTTTGCTATATAATTAGTTCTTTCTTTTTTACCATTTTGTGAAAATTCCACTTGAACACAAATTACGAATGAGGTAGCGTTTTCTCCTGCTTCGATGAACTTCTGTAAAGACCATGATATTAGCTGAGCAGAAACTCCTCTGTCTGTTGTAAGTGCTGCTAACACATGCTCTTCCTTGATCAAACTTTGAGGCATCACTGCTTTTCCTCCATCACTGTCAGGCACTGAAAGTTTAAATAAATCGGGTATTAACTTCAACAGTGTAACTGAACATTCATCATGGCTGTCAAAAAAGAGGGTGCTTTACATATTTGATTATTGAAGTGAAATTTAGAATAAAAATCCAATTTCCTCTAAGGAATTACAATTATGGTGGTTATTAAGGACCAAAAATAGCTTCTTTGTGAACGGTGGTGCCATCAGACAAAGGTGAAGTAACTGAAGTAAGAAGATTTGAAAGCAGAGTGGATCTGCCAACTTATAAACCTTACACTCAAATTATGATGAACAGTTAGTGGTGTACAGTATTCAAATGCAGAACTGAGAAACTCATAAGCAGCAATAAAGTAAGGATGGGCAGAACCAGTTATAGTTAGATAAAATGCAAAGCAATTTACCAGCATACATCTACAAGATTAACATCACGAGTTTCCTATCCACATTGAGTCCATTATAGACTATGCCAATAATTTAAGTGAAAACATTCTAAAAAAGATACAACTGTCTTTAATGGAGGATAATTATTAAGGTGCCTGATGTTAACAATCAAGAGATTATTATTATTATTATAAAAAAGAAGAACAATCTAGAAAGGGAAATAAGAAAATTTTAGACAATTTGAAAAATAAAATTTAAGTTTGAAGTATAAGGTGAATACTTGCTGAGGTTCTTCCTGCTCCAAGAATCACAAAGTCTATTACTTACATTAGCGGCAGAAAGAAAATGTCGAGAAAGGCTCTTACTTGACTGGCTTGCCTAATTTCTTAAAGTATCAATCAAATCTCCAGGCCAAGTACCAGCCATCTCATGCTCAGCCTATAAAGTGAAAATAGCCCTTCCCGACCAGGCTGTGAAAATTTACACAAGTGTACAGTACCTAATCATTTAATTAGTTAACATTTATTATGAGGAAAATTAATTTAAACAAACGATTGCAAATGAAACCCATGATCACCTTTAAAAAATTCACAACACTGTTTTGTGAAAAATTTAGTATTTTTTTTATCTATTATGCACTCCATGCCCATCCAGTGGGTTGTAGTCAAGATTATTATTAAGGGGGAAGCGCTAAACCCGTAGGATTATACAGTGCCTGGGGGGGATGTGGAAGGCATTCAGGCTTAATTCGGGGAACTATAGCACAGATCCAATTCCCTAAATCAAGAGCCCCTCACCAACATCAAGGAACCTTCTCTGAGGGGCTGTAGTCAAGAGATTAAAAAAAAGATGGATCATATTTGATTAAAACCCTCTTTTTGTTGACCCATATCTTAAATCCTGCATACTTCCGGTTTTAGGTAGTAGGTTGGTAGACAGCAACCACCCAGGGGGGTACTACCGTCCTGCCAAGTGAGTGTGAAACAAACCTGTGACTGTTTTACATGGTAGGATTGCTGGTGTCCTTTTTTTCTGTCTCAAACATGTAAGATTTCAGGTACGTCTTGCTGTCATGTAGGGGGGGGGTATGGGAACGTACGGGTAATTGGGAATAAGGGAGTCGGTAGGCAGGAGAGGCGAGTCGAGCGACGCGTGACGGAGGTAGATAATGTGAGGTCACTGGTGATTACACCTTCAAACCATACCACGGGCGGGATTGAACCCGCGGTCAGAGAGTCTCAAAACTCCAGACCACAATCGTGTCATTACGATTTCGTGAGTCATTACACCTTCACCTCATTACTCTACCCACCACACTACTCACCCTCTCACTACTCGAAATAATGAATAAAAGAGCAAATAACGGGGACAGTGAATATTACTATTCTACTCAAACACAGTTTATTATTAAGTCCTTAAATGTCTGGCCTGCTGGGTGACCTTGAAAATGGCACTATAAGACTCGCATGCCACTTACACCCATACTGCGTGTGTCCAGTGAGGTGAATGTCCCTTCCTCAACTTTCCTATTCAACGGTATCCCTTAGGTCGTCGCCATTATCTACATATGGGATAAGGGCGAGTTTAACCGATCCAGGCTAAACAGCACTCCAAGCCAGCCAGTGAAGGTCAAGTTACACTGCAGTTACATCTCTTCTGAATCCCAGAATGCCTTTGTGAACGTTCTACAGTGTTTCGGCCGTACCTTCGGTGTTGTTAGAACTCTTGTGTGCGAGTTGTGACATACCTAGTGAAACACTGGAATTAGTTTTCCGTTTTGAAAGGCTAGTACCTGGTAACTCCTTTGGAGACGGCTTTTGAACTGTAACAAGCCAGAGGTTCATCTATAAACATATTAAGTTTGTGCTGATTTATTTGTCCACAGAGTGAAAATTTGTCTGTCATTCAGGTCACTTGTTCTATCTAGGCTGGAATATTGCTGCACACTAACAGCACCTTTCAAGGCAGGTGAAATTGCTGACCTAGAAAATGTACAGAGAACCTTCACGGCGCGCATAACGGAGATAAAACACCTCAATTACTGGGAGCGCTTGAGGTTCCTGAACCTGTATTCCCTGGAACGCAGGCGGGAGAGATACATGATTATATACACCTGGAAAATCCTAGAGGGACTAGTACCGAACTTGCACACGAAAATCACTCACTACGAAAGCAAAAGACTTGGCAGACGATGCAACATCCCCCCAATGAAAAGCAGGGGTGTCACTAGCACGTTAAGAGACCATACAATAAGTGTCAGGGGCCTGAGACTGTTCAACTGCCTCCCAGCATACATAAGGGGGATTACCAACAGACCCCTGGCAGTCTTCAAGCTGGCACTGGACAAGCACCTAAAGTCGTTTCCTGACCAGCCGGGCTGTGGCTCGTACATTGGTTTGCGTGCAGCCAGCAGCAACAGCCTGGTTGATTAGGCTCTGATCCACCAGGAGACCTGGTCACAGACCGGGCCGCGGGGGCGTTGACCCCCGGAACTCTCTCCAGGTAAACTCCAGGTAATTCCTAGACACGTGTGCTAGCTGTGTTAAGTGCTGCGGGTTTGGAGTAATTAACGAGTAGTGCAATATTGGTAACTCTCGAGACGACTGTGGCCCCGTGAATGACCTTGAAAATCGCACTGCGACCCGCAGGCCACTACACCCATATTGCCTGTGTCTAGCGAGGTGAATATCCCTTCCTTGTCCCTTCTATTCGCCCGTATCCTTTAGCCCATCGCCAGTGTGAAACTCCTGTCAGCTATGAGTATAGCTGATAGTGTTGACGTAGATGATGGTGAAGGCAGATTTGAAACATATTTTAGTAAACAGGCTCGGAAAAAAGAACGAGGCTTCCAGAGAAAGCTTGCTGAAAGCAATACAGTGGGCGCACACCCTCCCAAAGCTGTCAGGTTAGATTTCCCTAACAACACTGATCAAGAGACCAAGTTAGTTAGTTAGTTTAATATGTTTATTATGCACCCCATACCCATCCTGTGGGCGGTAGTCAAAAGATTACAGAGGTACATAATTGGTCCAGGGACTGGACTCCAAAGTTTTGATAGCTGAGCAAGTTACAGAGGTAATGAACTCACAATTTACAAAGGTAATGAACTCACAATTTACAAAGGTAATGAACTCCAGGCAAGTCTGGTCACAATCATGACAAGTTACAAAGGTATTTACAGATTACAGAGGTACGTAATGGGTCCAGGGACTGGGCCCCCAAAGTTTTGATAGCTGAACTAGGTACAAAGGTAATGAGCTCACAAGTTACAAAGGTAATGAATTCTGTAGAATGGTTACTTACGTTTATACTTTGGCTACAATCATGAACCAAGTGTAACTGGTTTTTCGAAGCTAGTACAGACAACCTAGAGAAAACGATCAAGTTGTCCACGATGAGGATAACTACGTCTTTGTCCCTAATGAATCAGCATTTATAGACAAACTTCTCACTCGCGAATATGCCAACATCAAACTCCGAGCAGCCCCACCAAGGGCACAAAGTGCTTATTGTCATCTACAACGTCAACAAGCACTTGAATCCTCAATATCTGGCGTCAGAGCAAGTTGCAAGCCCTCGTCGACTTTCCAACGGTCTGATATTAGCTGAGTGGATGGCCAGGGGACTCGGCCACGCTATATTCACTCCGCGCAGCCTCAACAGATGCTATTACATTGCATTGTACAGACCTCCTCAACGTCGATGTTGTAAATGTCAACGCTGGGGCCACATTGCCAGGAAATGCCCATCTAATCACACTGGTGTGCAGTGTTTTCAATGCTCATCCTTCTGAACGGTGTTATGATATGATCAAACAGCAACAGACTGTGGCTAAACAATTTATCAATTGTAAGCTCAGGAGTCACAGCAGCTCATGCTGACTGCAGTGTGAGGGCTGATCGCATCGCAGCCAACCGCACTTCACCTGTCCCCTCATAATGACCCCCAGGACTACAGGTACCTCGGGTCTGAATACTGGCTCATGCCTGCCTCAGACAATGGGGTTGAGCACCTCACCCGGGGAGCACGTCAACAGACCCCATCACGTCGGGTGTCAATACCAGCCTAGTGAGTCAGCTGACAGTCAGCCAAGGAGCTCAGCTGACCGGGACTTCACGTCTCCAGATGTTCCAAGTCTTGCTCTGTGGTAAAACCTGATGTCGCGCATAAAAGTACTGGAAACACAACATTTCTCCATGAAACAACAACTTGAACAACCACAAAAGGAAAGATGTGTAGATGGTACCAATAACAAGATTGTCACAATTTGTGAAAGCAAGTATAAGGTTGCTGAACAAGGTGGTGGTGGTGTTCTTAATCACAGTAATGACGAATATAATACTTGTGTTGATAACTGTAGTGAGCATCATAATGAAGGCTATGGTGTCAATGATGTTAGTAATAGTGATGACCGTAATATAAGTGGTGGTGAAGAGTGTGATGAGGGCAATGGTGTCTATAATGTTAGTAATAGTGATGAGCGTAATATAAGTGGTGGTGCAGAGTGTGATGAGGTTAGTCACATAGACATTAATGTTGAATACAATACTGTTGATAAATGTAATGAACACAATGTTGGTAGTGGCGCTGGTGATGAGAGTTGTAGTGTCGTGTGTAATGTTAGTGGAGGAGGGAATGCGAGTGGT